TCCTCATAGCTTCCTCCTTTTAAAAGGTTGTTGAGGATCTTTTTCTTCCACAGAGCATTTGTGTGCCAGGGGTGTGAGGGCATTATGATTAGTTAGCTATCATAGTGTGGTGTTTTTAATTGTATTGCTTATTCTGTTGGATTTTAACAGCTGTGAGTCTATGAATTGGATGATATTTGTGCAAACAAATAAAACCAATATATTAATATCACTTCACACTGAAATTCTGGTAAGACTTAGGCACCCCTGATCCAATTCTTTAGACTCTTGGTTTTGGATATTTTTGGATATTTTTTCCCTTTTATGTGCTACTTGTTTGAAATCTTCAATAACATCCAAGGATATGGACTCTCAAAGCCATTTCAACATTTTTCTTTTCCTTTCCTTTCCTTTCCTTTCCTTTCCTTTCCTTTCCTTTCCTTTCCTTTCCTTTCCTTTCCTTTCCTTTCCTTTCCTTTCCTTTCCTTTCCTTTCCTTTCCTTCATTGTTAAAGTGTCTTTCAGATCATTGTCTTGCTGAAATATCCAGTCTCTTTTTCAGCTTCAGTTTCCTCCCTGATTGTGGGAATTTATAAATAACTGTACATAGTGTGTAATTTCAGATTTGCAGAAAGCTGCATTTAATTTTGTACCATATAGAAGTTGTGTCAACTTCAATGAAATATACAATTTGACAGAGGACCTAGCAGTTTATATACAATTGTAGATGTGATAGCACTGAAACAAAATAGTGTCATGTTTCAAAGTGAGACTATACAAATTGCCTTCATTTACAAATCCTTTGCTAATGAATAGTTAACAATCAAGCACTAAGACAGACTGAGAGCCAAATGTGCAAGTACATGCATGCTTCAGAAATATATACAAGAGAGTGGGGTCTTGCCTGAGAGCCAGGTGGCTAGAAAGTTTTGTCCAGAGTAAAAACTTAATATAGGTACAGAAACACCCAATCTACAATAGTCCAAGAGTCAAATGCCAGGGAGGTTACTGAGCCAGTTCAGGTCAAGGAGCTGAGATTCAGGAGTCAGATCTAGATCCAAAGACATAGAAAATCAGATACAGTTTGATGAGTTCTCAGCAAAGAAGCCAACCCGATGAGTGTTCTTCATTGACCTAGATACAAGTGTGGCTCATTTATGGGCATTTGTGAACTTGCTTCTAAAGGAGCTGCATTGCTTAGCTTTCCAAAGTATTCAATAAACTCTATTCCTGCATATTATCTGTGAAGATTAGTTTCAGTTGATTGTTTGGCAACTCCTGAGGCTGACAACTTGTTGAATCAGACCCCTCAGTGTATGATTCCTTTGAGATGCTATAAACCCGGAGTAATGATGACACTGGCCCATTTTATTTCTCCATAGATCTTTAGATCAATGGGATTGACAGCTGTAGGTTCTGGAATCCATTTAGGAATCTATCAAATTTGATAAGGTTTGAAGGGCAGACCAACTTGATGTCCCACACACTGATAAGGGGGAATGATGCCTTGAAATGCAATTTCTGGCCTGAATATAATAGGGAATTGTAACTCCCCTAATAGCCCTCTTGACCCAGAACAAAAAAGTGAGGATATGTCCTATTAACTAAATGACAATTTGGGATAGATTCATGACCATGAAATTCTGAGCTGACCATATTAGAAGAACCTTACTATGAAAGCTCTTTGAGGCCTTCAGGTGTGTTGAAAAAATGACAATTCTCAGTTGTATAGTTTGGAATTGGAGCATAATCGCTTTGGTTGCACTTTCTGGTTATATGTGTGATGTAAAGAAAAACAAATACAAAAGCAGTATATCAAGGAACAATCTTAAATCATGCTATTTATGTAGATTCTTCAAAGCTCTTCCTTAAGCCCAAGGGTTGACTTATTAAAAAAAACATGCCTAACATTTCAAAAAATGATACTTTTGTGATTATCAATTATGTACTTCCATTAATGAGAGAAAACTATTATTGATCAGAGTTAGAAAAAACCAATAGAAAATAGAATTTTGAAGATAATGTTATTTAACCAAGAAGAAGCGTTAGTCACTTCTCTATTACTTTAGTCCTAAGATTGGTGTTATTAGGCCTTTTATCAGTATGTATGTTCCTTAAAGCATTCAGTACTTTTTTTAGAAAAACTAAATATATGTCATATATAGTGCCTTATATTATTTTACAGTAATCCAAACAAGACAATGTGTATTTGCAGTCCATTATATATTCACATCTGTCCTTCTGCTGCAGTTTAGGCATTTGAATCTCCTTACAAACCATGGTTAAACATTACTATTTTGCCATATCAATTTTTGGGTAGATTCTGCAATACTTAAATTTATAGTAATTAAAACCAAATACATTAATTAATGATATTCTAGACCAGTGCTTTTCAAATGAATTGTTCAAGTGGTTAGCATGCAGATAATTTTAAATAAATAAAATAATAAATAATCTCGTGGTATATTTACTATTGTTGCTGTTCAGACAAAGACTTAGTAAATTGTTCTTCAGCTTTTCAAACAAGTGTTTCCTCCGTGGAGGCGTCCTGGCCCTCCTGACCCCCTAGCCTGACTCCCTCACCTTCCCCTAGCTGGGACCTGCTGATCCCCCCACCCTTCTGCACCCATCCCATTCTGAGACTCCTGCAGCTGCCTCCAACCGTACCCTCCTGCCCCCCCAGGACCTCCTGCCCCCACCTCAGCTGACTCCCTGAGCAGCCCACCCCGACCAAGGTGGAGGAAAGGCGAAGCAGAGAACCGGTTGTTAAATTATTTAAAACCCACCACTGATCCAGGGGGTCTCTGGCAAGTGGGGCAGTGGGAAGGATGCTTGTCCTATGGGGTGAGGTAGGGGGCAGGAAGGGGGTGCCATTGCCATGGGGCGAGGCAGGGGCAGGGGTAGCTGCTGCCTGACACCATCGGCCTCCGCACACAGAAGCCAGCGAGCGTGTGGGGGCTGCCAGCCCCTCGACCAGCACATTCTGGGGCTCCGCAGCCCACTGCCAATACTGGGCCAGCCCTCCAGCAGCAGGCGGAGTAGGGGAGGGGGGAGGCACGTGATGCAGACTGCCGGATGCGCCTACTCTGTCCTATCTGTTTTTGCTTGCAGTTGGAGAGCAGGTCACTGCTGGTCATCTCGGCCCCCTCGCAGATCTTGTCCTTGGTCAGTGCATGAAACCTGTTCCCCTCGTGCACCCAATGCACCTTGGCCCCGCCTCAGGCTGCTGCTGCCAGCAGCTCACACAGGTCCATTAGGCTGCCACCGCTGCCCAGAACACATGGCCCACGGGCCACATCACATGCTCCCCCGACTCCGTGTGCTGTTGGTGCCGCTGCAGCACTGCTGCTGGAGGGACGCCCCGGTATTCACAGTGGGCTACGCAGCCCCTGCTGTCGGATGCTTTCAGCCCCCATATACTCATTGCCTCCTGTGTGCATGCCTTGGGGGCCGCTGGACTGATGGGGGCCAGTCTCTCGCCATCTCCGGGGCATCCCTGGGGGGGCAATATTGCTTGCTCGCTAACTTCCTGCTCCGTCGCTTCCAAACGCCACATGCTCGCTACTCTGGCAAACTCCTGGCACGACAATGCGCGTGCCCACAGAGAGGGCTCTGAGTGCCGCCTCTGGCATAGATTCACCACTACTGCCCTAGGCAGTAGATCTATGGATACTCTCCTTACAAAGATCGAGAGATCCTTCGCTTTCTTGGCTGTTTCACTGCTTCCTTCGCTGCATTTGCAGAGAATGGAGGCCTAAAGTAACACAAGATCACATGAGATCAGTGACGCGAGATCTCACGCTACTGATCTCATGTGATCTTACAGTAATTTAGGCCTCTGTTCTCTACAACAGAGAACGGAACGGAAGCTGGGGGAGAACGGACCTCCAGAGGCATGCAAAAGCCTTCCTTGGTGTCTGTTCTGGGCCTCCTTTCTGAGCAGCAGCAGCCCAGAAAAGGCCTCCGACGCCTGGATCGGACCTTCAGAGCACCGCTGAAATGTCCCCGATGTCATTTCCAGGCATCAAAGGCCTTTTCCAGGCCGCTGCCAGCCGGAAAGGATGCCGGGGTGTGTGTGCTTCAGTGGAGCTCTGAAGGCCTGTTCTGGGCCTCGGAGGCCTTATGCAGGCCTCCGAGGCCCAGAATGGAGGCAGTGGGTGGCAGCCATGTGCTTCCAGAGGTCCATTCTGGGCCTTGGAGGCCTCCCTCTGCTCTTACCGGGAGCAGAGAAAGAAACAAGAGAGGCTGCAAAAGAGACAGATCTTCACAAGGTAAGTGGGGGGGAGCAATTGTGGGCCCCCAGGGGAGGGAGCATGAGATATTTCAATGGGTTGGGGTAGGCCTTGGGTGGTCGGAAGCACTAGGCCCCCCCATAGCCATCCCCACCCTGAGATACCTCATGTTCATTTAATGAGCCATGCATTCGCCCACGCATTAGCGAATGTGTGGGCAAAAGCTGGGAGTGAATTGCGTTCAAGGTACGAGATTCACTCCACCGAATCCTCAAGTTATGAATGGAATGGGCAGGCTCTATTACATTTGTAACTTGAGGACTAACTGTATTGAGGGAAATTTTGATATAATCACTGTTTTGCAGATATAAAAAGATTTCACCATTTGTGATGTTATTATGTTGCAGTTTAGTTTTTATTGATAGTTGTGGGTGGATTTTATGTAATTGAGCTTCACGGAACGTTTGGGATGACATACAGATGTAACAAATTAATAAAGACAAATTTAATTTTTATACTGCAGCTTGTTTCATATGGTCTGGTTCATCTGTAGATGATCCTTCATAAGATATTTATAAGTGATTATTTTTATGGTTTGCTTGCTGCAGCCACCTGCTGTGGCCTATATTGCGGAAGGCTATCAAATTGTAATTTTTGAGTATATTTGTCTTCAGCCACCTTCTTCTGCCAAGCAGGTGTACACATAGATGAGTACATAAAATGATCTCTGAGAAATAATTAATAAATTTGATAAATTACAGTTATTTCTTCTCCACATGTCTCTCTACAGGATGCTCTTTAAAGAAAGCCGAAGTGTTCATAATCATCTCACATCTGCTCTGTGAGTATAACATCAGTATATATACTTTTCCTATTTATCTGCAATTCTTTAATCATGATTGCCTGAATTTCATAATAATTTATGTTTATTACAATAGTTATTGTTCAGGTTGTAATTCCATTGGTAATAGAAATTCAAAATTCTAATTATTATGGTTTATTCTTGACATATCTAAAAATAAGAATTTTGCAAACAGGTAGCATGCAATACATTTCCTTAAACATATGAAATTATGCTTTAATATGAAAACAACTTCTGCAGCAAATAGTATAGTAATATTAAACATATACAGTAACACTGCTACTCAGTTGTCAGAAATTATTATTGATTTTTTACATTTTTAAAATCATAAAGACCCACTTGTCAGGATTTCCAAACACCACATGATACTATATTTCAAACCAACTGCTACTAGATATCATGCATATTCTTACTCCCAGTTATATTTGTGGGAGGTGCTGCTGCCGTAGAGTTGGTTTATATGAAAAGCAGACATATAAAGCTATCCTCTCTAGTGGTTTGCTCTCCTTAGCTTACCTATTTGAATATTCCCAGTGATATCATCGAAACTATGGAATAACTTTTTAGGGAAAGGCCATTAATCTCCACTGCATGCACTGTTTTCCCTGAAGATTGTCTTGCCTTGTTTTCAGAAGCATTTCTAATTATTCTGGGTATAACCTGGTATAAAGCTTGTTGTTCAAAGTGGCACCACCTCTGCAAGAGTCACTTGCTAAAAATCCTGAATTTAAATAAGCTGTTTTCACATGCTGTTTCAATGTGATTATTCTAGATTTACCGGTAGTTAACCTTCTCTCTAGCAGTAAAATTATAGCAGTAAATTTTCAACAGGACCTAGTGCTTGAATAAAAATTACAGATATTGTTATAATTATCTTTGCACTGTCCTCTTTAGGACAAAGAAGAAGGTGATTCTGGCACCTAAACCCAAAGGAAAGGTAAATAATTAATTACTTATAAATGAAGAAATAATAGTCTGAGATATACTAAATAGAACAACATTTCAGTGAAGTATTTTATTGTAGCTGCTTTGCTTGATTGCTGTGGGCCACTCAGAGTCTTTGTTAGTTGGGTACAATGGTGGGATTCAAACATGTGAACAACCGGTTCTCTGTGTGGATGCCACTTCCGGAAGTCCATTCTGGGCCTGGGCAAAAAAATTAGCTACCGGTTCTGCCGAAGTGGTGCGAAGTGGCTGAATCCCACCACTGGTTGGGTAGTATACAAGAATAATAAATTATTATGGTTGCTTGTACAGTCAGCCAGATATTTGGATAGGATTTGGCATTTTTGATCACTTATTGAGTCCTCTCCAAGGACCTGCAGTAATCAACTCTACCAGAATATTTATAGCTTTGCAATTTTCTATATGCTGACAAGTGCATGGTGGCTTTATTTTATTTTAGAAAATAGAAAATAAATTATTATCCATTCACAAGAATATGCAGTCACAGCTGCCAATTCTTTTGTTGGTGTTGGTCTTCATATGCATTAAGTTCTTAATGCATTAAGTTCTATTGGAAGGACCAATAATAATAATAAATTGTGTTGAAGTAATCTATACTTAGATTCACAGTCTAAGACTATGAAAACTTAATAATTGAAGTCCTAACCAAGGACCTAAAAATTATTAAGAGTATAGGCAGTTCCAAACAGAGTGATTGTTTTTTTTGTAAAATTAGAGTATTGAGGTCTGATAAATTTTATATTTCCAAATATTGAGAAAGTCCTTTAGGTATTTCTCCAAGGACTCCAATTACAATATAATAACAGATTTCTTTTTCTATAAGCTTTCAAATTCAATCTGCAAGTCCTGGTATTTTGTAATTTTTTCCAATTGTTTTTCCTAAACCTTTTCAGTAACTTTTCTATAGGGATGTTATGAGCAAGATGCTTGTCTGTTTGGATCTTAAAGACCCTCAAGATCTTAACTCACTCATTTTCCAGAACTTTCTCAACTTGATGGTCGCAGTTATTTTTACTACACTCAAGTCCAAACCTTTGGCAAAGCTTCCATTCTGGCTACTCTGGCAGGACACTGTAGTCATTTTGTCAAATTTTGCTGCAACCGTAATCAAATGGTCAATTATTTCAATTATTTTACTACAAGGCAATATTTGCTATTGTTTGTTATATGTTGAATTTTTGCCATCTTGCAATTAATTGCCAAAGCTTGTAATTGAGCCAGTAAAATAAAGCCTTTTTGGTTTCTTTCTTTAACACTGCTGATCTTAGCCAACCCCATGTGGTTTTTGGTCACCATTTCTTTCTATATTCATTAACTATTGACCACGCATTGACTTGTACTTCAATTAACAAATTGATTTTCAGTTGTTTCTTTTCTATATTCAGCCTTCACCATTGTTGTTTTCAAGAAGCTTTCCTTGATTGACTACCTTCAGCAAAAGTTCTTAGGAGCACGGTGGCTGGCATGATTAGGACAATGGGATGGAGATTAGTAAGCCAGTGTTTGAGACCTGAGTGCTGCCATGGGGCAGGGTTGAGCTCCCGTCCTTCACTTCAGCTCCTGCTGGGGGACATGAAAGGAGCCCCCAACTGGGCATCCCCAGGCAACAGTGATGTTACCGGCTAAACCTTTCAACCTGGAAGTGCCTCAGTGCTTCTGACACAAGTGCAAGCAAGCAAGGGTTCTTAGTTTTTCTTAATGTAGTCATTTAGTTTATGCTTTTCTTCCTCCACTATTTGTTTTACCTTTAATGTCCTCTACCCCTTTTAATCTCTTGGCGAATTCAAGCCAATTAATATCGCTTTTTGGGTGCAAAGTATGGTGCATTGCCATTACTTTTCTTGTCTTTCAATTCAAGTTATCAAGTTCCACCTGGGTCCAGTCAGCTATTTCTGCTATATATTGAATAGCAGGGTCTGCCCAGGTATTAATTGTTTTTAATGAGGTTTCCATCATTTAACTTTGATTTCAAAATTTTCCAAACTCATTTGATATATTTGGTAGAAATATTTTGACTTGATTCTGTAATAAATTGGAAGCTTCCAAAATTCCCAAATATTTGTAGCCTTCTGGTGCTACTGCCTTTATAAAATCTTCATTGTTAAGTTGTATGTTCAACAGTTTTTCTGCCTTTATGTCTATGGTTACACATTTATTGATGCCAAATTGCACAGTCAGCCAGATGTTTAAACAGGATTTAGTATTTTTTCCACCTAGCAAGTTCTTCCCAAGGACCTGGGTAAGCGGATGTTGTTTGATGATGCTAAAGATATTGTCTCAGGATGCAAGCTCCTCTATGTAAAGCTGCCTTTTGCAATTAGTTGATGGTGTTTTTGTCAGTGCCAGTGTGTTCAAATAGTGTCCAGATGTTTTGAGATTTTGCTAGTTTCTATTCTGTTGTCTCCAGATACTTCAGTTTCCATTATTCAGACTTTTTTGTCTTTCCTATCAACAGTTGTTAAGTGGCAGGTGCATATCTGTTAGAATTTTAAATCCCAGAACAGTTTAGCTTCTTCATTTTCTATTGCTTTGCTTGTTTTGTGGTCTCGCCAGTTCTTGCTTGCAGGCGAATGGTATTTCTTGCAGATATTTCATTGTACCATTGTTGCTATTTTGTTATGCCATTTTCTGTAGTCAGTCTGTGCAATCTTCTTACAGCAGATAACTAATGGTCTACTCTTTCTTCAACTTCTTTGCAAAGATGGTACTTGTTGTCTGTTGCTACCTTCTCAATTCTGGCTCTGTATATATTTTTCTTAAGCCTTGCTTAAGAATTAGCCCCTCAGTCTCTTCCTTCAACTTTCCTGCTCTTAGCCATTGCCAGGTCTTATTATTATTTTGCCTGCTGTTTTTTATACTTCGCCTTGCCATGGCTCTTTTTTAATCTTCATTTGGTCTTTCTTGTAGGCCAGTTTGGTCTCTCCAGTACTCAGTAAGCCTTCATAGTGTACTAACCTCAGTGCATCTTCTTTACTATCCTTTAGATATTCTTCCAATGCCCTTTTTTTCTTCAACTGTCTGGTATTCTTGCAAGATTCCATGCCCATCTATGCTCCTTGGTAGGCAGAGTCAACATTGCTGCATGAATGACTCATGCATGAATAATTTCATTTTTCTGGGCTATTATCCAGAGTTTTTAGTTCTACTTGAGTTCAGTCCATTATTCCAGCTGTATATCCAATGACTGGAACTGCCTAGATGCTAGTTGGCTAGTGCAACTTTTGTTACAGTATTTAAGCTTTAAGGATGAAGCAAATTAGAAAATATCTATGTTCAAACAATAATATGGACAATGTGATGTCATGAGCATTCTGGAAATAAGTGCTATTATTTTAATTGGAGTGATCATTAAGTCCAAATCCATATGATGGTAGCAGGTTTGTGTTTTCAAAAAATGGGCCTAAAAACTCAAACCTGTACAATCTAAGGTAAACAGATAAGGATAGGAATTAAAAAGTCAAGGAGACATATAGTAGATTTTTAGCCATTTCCCCACTACCAATTTTTCACTGGTGCAGGCATTTCTATTCCAATTATGTTATTTTTTGCAAAACTCTTCTTAGTTGATGAAAAAACATTTTAGAGGATGAATAGTGGGCTTAAGATTGAACAGAGACTTTGGAATTGGGATGGATAATCTATAGCAGGCATGCCAAACTGCTGGCCCACGGTCTGGATGCGTCATCCGGAAGCTGCACCCACCCCATTGCCGGCAATGGCAAAATCATCCCGATACGTTGCACGACGTCATGTGACGTCGCGAGTTTGACATGTCTGATCTATAGCCCTCCAGATGTTGCTGAACTATCATTTCCAATACCCTTCACCATTGGCCATAGTGGCTGCGGTTGTTGGGTACTACAGTTTAGCAACATGTGGTAAATCATAGGTTTTTCTTTTTTGGTTCATAACTACACCATTTTAAATTTTACCCCCCTAGATTTAGAATATTAGTATACCTAAAGTAAAATGTCATGTTTGTTGCTATTTGCATGCCATTTGGTCTTTAATTTTATCCCTTGCTTTTTTTAATGGATATTCCATGTAAGTAACATGAAAGCTGTATATGTATAATATAAAAATGTGAATCATTATCATTGAAATAAAATCAGCTCAGACTGTTCAAGCCATATACTTGCTTTAACTTTTTTTTAAGATTTGCTTTTTGCCTGAGAAAGAAAGATTTTTCTACTTTGGAATAAAGCATACCCAATAGATCTCAGCGAGAAACAGATTGTAGAATACATTGATCTGTTTTCTTTTTTTTCTTTTCTCCACAGAATCCTTTGCTTTATAAAGAGCTGTTTTCAATAAAGGAGAATATTTGTAGCTCAGGGTTGAAATAAGGGGTCCTTGGTTGTTTTCTTGCAGATGTTTCATTACACAAACTAGGAAACATCATCACTGCTAGCAGAATTCAAAAACAAATTCATTTTTCTCTCTTTTTACACTAGGACTCTAGTCCAAAGAAGGAGCAGAGAGCATGTCCCCCTTTTGCTTCAGCTTGTGTTCCTGCTTCAAGTACTAGCACACCTATCAATGCTGTAACCAGTTGTATTCCAGCTCCAGAGACAATTTGCCTAGATGATTCACTGGATGAAGATCTGTCATTTAATCCGCCTTCACTGGATTCTGTTTCTGATGCTCTGGCTGCTATTAATAATGGGGTCAAGTGTTCTTCTGTTGTGTCCCCTGTAGACACATGTGCTTCAAGACCTCGGGCAGGGCTAAGAGAAGAGAAGTTGGCAAGCATAATGAGCAAATTACCTCTGTCATCCTCAAAAAAGATAGAGGCTGTTCAAACACAACATTCATCAAGTCTTATAGCTGGACACACAGGACCGGTACCAAAGAAATCCCAGGATTTGCTTCAGACTGGTATCTCTTCAGGCCTTATTGCTGGATCTTCAATTCAAAATCCTAAGGTTTCCTTGGAACCATTGCCTGCCAAGCTTCTGCAGCAAGGGTTACAGAGGTCAAGTCAAATACAAGCTGCTTCTTCGCAGACCCATATTTCTTCCTCCTGTAAAGGGCAAGCTACAGCTTCTTCTACTTCACAAAGGCCAAAGGATACAGTTGTGCTTGTAACCTCCTCAGAAGTCCAAAGCTGTGGCTCCTCAACAGTACAAGTGGCAAAAGTTCACCAGCAGTCCATTGCCCAACAAAAATATGTGTCTCCTCTGCAAGTTACTATTAGTAAATCTCAAACCAATCCTGTGGTAAAATTAAGTAGCAATCCCAAACTTTCCTGTTCTTCCCCAGTAACCAAGACTTCAGATAAACCAGTAGTATACCGCCTTCCTTTGTCTAATGCCACTTCTGGGAGTTCCCAAATGGTTCACCCGCTTGTGTCTCGGACAACATCCAGCACCTCTACCTCTAGTAATTATTTGGCCAAGGCCATGGTATCACACATTTCTGCCCAGGGTTTCAAGCCTCCTTTCTCCATGGTTCCCTCTCCTAAGCCAGCTGCCTCTCCCAAACCCCCAGCACCCAAGCCTTCTGTAACATCCAAACCTACTGCATCTCTTAAACTTCCCTTATCTAAGACCACCTCTACAACCAAGCCCACATCCTCCTCCAGTTCTTCCAGTCCAAGTACACTAATATCCCAGAACAGTCACCTCAACAATTCCCTTCATAAACAGTCCAGTGGAGTAAGTGTCAACCGACAATCTTCCACAATAAATTTACTTTCTTCTAACCGAACCTCAGGCCTTCAACCAGCAAAGAATCCTCAAGCCCTTTCTAAATTATCCAGTTCCTCTGCCTCTGGAACTTCTGGCAAAAATAACATGAGTGGAGTTGGATTAAATGTACCTATCAATAGGGGAAGCGGCTTAAATTTAAGTGGGGCTAGTAGGACTAATCCCTCTGGAGCAGCAGGAAGTGGAGCACAGGGTGCTACTAAACAGTTATCAACTCCACATAGACCATCTTCTGCCTCAGGGTCTACAGTTATACCAGCCAGTGTACAGGTATGTACTGAATCTGAAACTGAACTTAAGATATAATATAACTGTACATAGGGACTATTAAATTCTGAACTGTAGTAATGAATGCAAAAGTGTGTGGATTTAGAAATAAGTCCACTCAGTGTAATAGGATTTACTTCAAGGAAAATATTGAATCCTAAATGTCTGTTTTGATGCAGTTACACATTTAAGGTATAGTTTGTTAAACAAGTTACAATGGCCAGGTTCATACATAGTGGCCCATAATGGGTGAGTTTTTATTTAACATTAAAGCAAAAAGTTTTTTAAAAACACTAAGGATTACTTGTAAATACAAATCAGGGTTGTGTTTATCAATATTCCTATAGCTACTAGAAGATAGAATTTATTATAAATCAACTTTATTTATAGCATTTTATGATAACTGACACTCTGGGATTTAATACATAAAGACAAAAAATAATTTCTAGTATATTTATTTGTACCTTAAGATTTTTTTTATCGTGACTGTTATAAACACCATGCAGAATAAATTACTAGAAAAGCAATAATGCAATAATTTAGATGGGTGAATTACTTTATTTATAGAATAACCCTAACCCCTTGAAAATTACAGCTGCTTGAGAAGAGTTGTTTGGCTGGTAAACCTATTCCTTTTTGTGATGCTTAAACTGAGCTTTTTTCCCCCTTTTATTTCCTTCCCTATCTAGTTAACCACTTCTTGCCTCATTCCTATTAGGTTTCCTTATCTTTGCTTCACTTTCATTCATTTTCTTGTGTAACTATCCCTCCACTTCAACCTATCTCTTTTTGATATTTTTCCTTTCTGTTTCTTGGGGCTAGATAAAGGAATGTATGTGTTCTTCTTTGTGTATGTAAATAAGGTATCTTAACAGTTTTGAGTAAAAATAAAAACACTCTTGAGTCAAACTTGACTCAGTAATAATTACACGGACACATCCATGCAATTTTTTTGGCAATATTATAGAAATGGGCTGCCACTGCCTTCACAAACAAATGTTATACTCAGTTGACCAACATTTCCTAAAGTACGCACCTTTATTGAATAACAACATTTAACATAGTTGCTGTCAAGCTTTATACCAGGACAGAGCAATAAATCTCAGGTCTCCAGAGCACTTAACCCTTTATTTAGCAATTGGCTAAACTTGGCAGAAGACTCTCAGGTACAATAGCTAAAGTAGAATCTTTATTGAAGACAAGAATTAAATGTGTTGGTGTATATAACAAATGATTTGTTCTTTACAGTGTGAAGAAATAAATGTATAGGTGTGTACTCTAGAATTCAAACTCTAGACTTTTTCTTCCTGCCTTCTGAGTTCATGGATATTTGGACATAGATGAAATATTTTTATGTGTATCTCTCTTTTTCTGAATCTTGAATTGCAAAATTCAGCCCTTATGACACCTTTCTATTTTCTTCTTCCTATTTCCTTTGAAGTTAAATCTTTTCTTGGTCATGAATGGCTGGAAGGTATTGTGTCCATCTTCTATTTCTTCAACTTTTGAAGCATATGAGATTTCCAATCCCTCCTTCCATCCTATGAGTTTAGCTAGAAGGAAGTAGAATTTCCATTTCTCCTTTGGTTGCAGCTGTCAAGAATGCCTCTTTTAAATGCTTGCATTTTCCCTCCCCCATCTACTCAGCTGAACATCTCAGTTTATCACATAATAACTGATTATTCATGTCTTCTTTCTTGAAAAAAGACTCACAAATTGGCTAAAGTAAGTACTCCATTGCAGACTAGATTGAAACTATATAAGAATCAAAACACCTTCTCTTTATTTGTCCAAGACTTGCTAAGTTTTCTCNGCTATGGAATTTCCCACATGACTTTGGGTAGAGTTCTTCCATTCCTCCCAAAAAGCTGAGAACATAACCCTGCACTTATGAAACCTGCTTTTGATGAATATGAATTTGATCAGTCAAGGAAAGACTTTCTGTTCTGCCCTTAGGAGTCTGTGACTTAGGACTAGCTAGATATCAAGGAAGGGGCACTGAAGTTTTCTGGGTGGAGAATGGAGATTGGAGGAGGGTCATAAGGTAAGAAATATTCTAGCTTACATGATAAAATAGTCTAACACTAGAAATTCAAAGGTGCATTTTTCTAGCTTAGCAGAGAGGCTGCATTTATGAAAGCACCAAAGATCTCTTTGCACTTGATCAGTATAGAGAGCAGGATCCTTCAAATAAATCAATAAATCTTCTAGATGCAGAATTAAAACTCCTCCCCCCAAATCATGAGAAATGTGGTTCATAATTTTCATGAAGATCAGTGGGTCATTAACCAGTTTGAAGGTCAGTGTAAAAAAATAATAGAACAGAACAGAATATTTTATTTGGCCAACAAGTGATTAGACAACAAGAAATTTGTCTCCAGTGCAGAAGCTTTCGGTGTACATGCAAAGCAACAGAATAATAATAATAATAATAATAATAATAATAATAATAATAATAATAATAATAATAATAATAATAATACCAATAAGAAAGAGTAGTAAAGAAGATAAGGATAATAACAATATATTTAGCCATGCTACATGTGTAAATACACCTAGACATTAGACAGTACTGAGAATTAGGTGTTCAGCAGAGTGATGGCACAAGGGAAAAAACTCTCTGTGCCTAGTTCTTAGCATGCAATGTCCTATAGTGGTGTCTATAGGGGAGGAGTTGATGTCCAAGATGTGAGCGGTCTGTAGATATTTCTCACCTCTCCTTCTGACTCGTGCACTATACAGATCTTCTATGGAAGGCAGGCTGTTTGCAATTGTTCTTTCTGCAGTCCTAAGTATCAGTTGGAGTCTGTGCCTGTCCTGTTTGGTTGCTGTACCAAACCAGACAGTTATAAAAATACATATGATAGATTCAATAATTCTTCTGTAAAACTGTATCAACATCTCCTGGGGCAGTCTGAACTTCCTGGGTTGACCCAGGAAATACATTCTTTGTTGTGCCTTTCTAATGATGGTTCTAATGTTTAAGTGTCCATTTCAAGTCCTGGGAGATTATAGAACCCCAAAACCTGAAGGATTCTTCTGCTGAAACTGTGCTATCGAATATAGTAAGACAGCGGTCCCCAACTCCTGGACCAAGGCCCACTACCACAGGCTGCAGCCTATTGGGAACCAGGCCGCCAAAGTGGCAGGCGAGCACACAAAGCTTCATTTGTGCATGCATGGGATTTAGGTGAAACCATTCCACCCCGCCACCAAAGCCACCGCCAAAGTCAGTGTGCAGAACCAAAAAGTAGGAAGAGGTGGTATAATAGAAGGGCTACTCCTAAAATCCACTCTCATGTCTACGGTTTCAAACATGTTCAACTCCAGATTGTTCCAGCTGCACCACAGGGCCAG